AGGTAGCAGCCAAGTGCTGTACCATATTTCCCAGCCTGTGGGTACATAAACAATTGCTCATGGGTTTGGGCCTGGCCCAGCCCTTCTGTCCCTTTTCCTTCTCAACATGCTTTACACTCATAATAGATTTTCCTTTCATTCTTGGACACCCTACTTGGAAGAACACAAAGTTTCAGGCTCCCAGGGAGACCTCAACAGGAACTTATTCAGGTATCTCAAATCTCTGTAACTTTGGGTATTTGCAGAAGTGCCTTTATGCTAGGGGAACTTGAAAGTGAGACCCTGGAAAAGACTCACATGCCTTTGAAGAAGATAATTTGGTGACAGATGGACAGAGCCTTCTAGGAAAGGGATTTTGGTCTGAGGGACGGCCAGTGACAAGGATGTTGAAGTAATTTCAAGGTTTCTGGTTACTCCAGTGAAAGCAGCTGTTGCTCAGTCAGCAGGCAATAATCAGGCATTTGTATGTCCCTGTGCCCTTTCAGAGGGGAGACCGAGCAGGTGTAGCTGTGAGATGTCAAAGTGTAGCTGTTGAGATGGCACATCACTCCCTCTGTTGTTTTCTGGTCCTAGGAAATATGGCACTAGTTCCAAGAGCAGGCGTGTTTTGGCTGTACTGGGGACCAGTGCTCCCTCTACATTATTCTCATGAGCTACACCTTCTGATGGGATTCTGCATCTTGTTCTGGGGATTATTAACTCAGAATTTTGAATAATCTGAATAGTAAACAAGTGCTCAAGTGTTTTCAGACCTGCACAGTTTCTTGCTCATTTTCTCTTCCTTGTTCTTGCTGATGAACGCTTTAGTTCCCACGTTAAAAGAGGAGTAGTGCCAGCAAGAGGCTGTGTGGCTTTGGGGAGCTCGCAGAGGTGGGCAGGCTGTTAAGGGTTGCACAGCTGTGAGGTTGGGAGTGCAGCAGGAACGTGCCAGGTGCTTTCCAGCAACTGCAGCCATTGGACAGATGCCCCAGCTTTGGGATGCAAATGTGCAGTTCCATTTGTGTCTCCGTCGCTGTTCCCTCCCTGCACACCCCCCAAATATTAGGTGTTTCCTAATTCTGTACAGGATCAGCAGATGCACTCTACCTCCTGTGAAATGTAATCACTGCTGAAAAGGAAATACCACTGTAATGCAGCAACAAGATGTCAGTGACTTCTCCTCAGCTGTCTCCACTTCGTGGGGGTACCTGTGTAGTTCTGTCTAGTACAGCGTACTGCTGCACTGCTGCCTTCCTGCTGCTTACCGTCCAAAATATTGTAGAGATTGAAACTGCAGTGATTTTGAAGGAGGTGTGGCTTGAAACATGTGGGTTTCATGTTTCAGAAAATGTGTTTTGTTGTGTTTTTTTTTTTTCTTCTCAGAGAAAACTAATAAGAAACTTGCTGCCTCAGGAGACCAAGTCAAGTGAATTTCTAAGAGGTTGGGCGCTGTTTTATAGCAATATTTTGAGTCTCATGCTTAGAGGAAATTGGCTGTAAGGATGAGGAAGCAGAACTATGTATCTGCAGTGGTTTTGGCTGGATTTTGCATCCCATTGCTTTCCACTGAAGCATGAAATAGTGACTGCTGCTGGGGACAGGATATTAAACTTGGTACAATCGCATGTGTGTTTTTTAGAGCTTTTGATTCTCAAGAAGTGAATGAGCTCCCTTATAAAACTTCTGTTCTAATCCTTGCAATTTAATAATATCATTAAAATGCTGTATAATGTATATGCAATTTCTAGTTTTGACTTACAAAGGCAAGTTTAAACCTGCTCATAAGTTCTTCCTGCTGTGCTTAGGAGCTGGCAGACAAGGTAAAATGCTTTGTCAGCAAAGCAAAACAAATAATTAGAACTAAACTTCTATTGCACTGGGAAGAAACCACTGTGTTCTTGCCACCTCAACTCGTGAATTTCATATAGACAGGCTTCAGTGTTTGTGGAATTATGATTTGGAATTAGTCTTGCAGACTCTGTAAACTGATGAATCCTGCTTTTTCTTTTTTTTTCTTGTTACTTTTTCTCTTTTTTTTGGTAGTTCTCATTCTCATATACCCACCTTTATCTTGTTATGACTTCATACCATGCTAAAAGGTTGCAATTCTCTTCACACTGTCACTTTGTTTTTTCCAGGAAAGAAGCTCATGTTGGGGCTTGAAGGGAGCTGTAGAATACATAGGAGACATTGAAACTACTTAGTATGAGGCCAAGTGGGAGCAAAGATAGCACAGAACCTGCTGAAGTACTGTGCTGGCAGGGTCAGAGCACAGCAGCTCCATCCCTGAGACTGCCTCTGTACTAATTGAAAAGATAAGACAGACACGGGCTAGGGACAGCATTCTCTGCCTTCTGCTGCCAGGTGGCAGGACACAGCTCATGTCCACAAAGGCTAAGCTGTCAGGCCTCTGCCAAAACCCAGGTGCCCTCATCCAGCCTGCCTGCTGGGAATGGTTCTGGCACCTGCTTCATCCTGCATAATCCAGGAGAGCAAGAAGTGGCCTGAGCCAAAACCCTGAAATGTGCTAATTGTTAAACGTTTTGGCCAGTTCTGGAATATCTGCTTTAACCTTGTCTTCTATAGTAGCCATTTAGCCCAGCTTATGTAAGCTTCCTCACAGATATATTTGGGTTTTAAACACAGAGCCATAGAAATGTTGGTTGGAAGGGAGTTCTGGAGGGTATCTAGTTCAGCTTCCTGGAAGGAACAGAATGTGGCTGGTCCAGAATTAAGGAATCCTAAAGGTAGCTGTAGAGATTTTAATAGTTCTGTCTCATGAGCAATGTAAATGAATTTTTTATTTTTCTTGCTTTCAGTGGGATTGGGCAGAACCCTTTGTCAAGTCCTAAGTGCTGGGTTGTGTATCCCTGACATGTGCAGTGTGTCATCAATCCCAGACAAACTTTTTGCCTGGGTAAGTGTTAGGAGCATTTGTCTTTGCAGTGCTGCAGGCAGGATGGTGGCAGTGCTGCTTCCTCTGGGCAGGCTCCAGCTGTTCTTGATCTCTCCTCAGTTAGTTAATTACATGCAATATTTCTCTCTCCGCTGTGTCACGGTTTAGGGGGTACTCCCCAGTTTATTGCTCCCACAGAAACTCTCCAAATCACTCTCCCTCCCTCCTGCAGTGCTCTGGAGAGGAGAATAGGAGGCACAAAAGGTGAAGATCGTGGGTTCAGATAAGAACAAATTACTGGAAATAGCAATGAGATAAGAAGAGGAACAGTAAGGGCAACAATATTCATGACAGAGAGTACAAGAAAAGAAATGTTATTGCTCTCTGTGGAAAGCCACAGTAGACAACACCAGCTCTCTCTGGTTTGGAATTGGAGCCATAAGGAACTTCTACTCCCCAGAAAGGACTTCCTTCCCTCTGCCCTCAGTAATGATGTGAGGTAGTACAGAATAACCTTGGTGTTCTGGCCATGTCCCCTCCAGGCTACTACCAAAAATTAACCTTGTCCTGGCTGGAACCAGGACATGCTGGTAAATTTCTGCATGAAGACTTAGCTTTATAATATCCTACTCAACCTCAGGAATATATAGGCATGTAATTTCTTCATTTTGATATCACAGAATAATTTAGGTTGGAAAATACCTCAAAGATCATTGAGTCCAACCATTAACTTGACCAGTCCACCACTAAACCATGTACCCAAGTGCCACATCTGCATGTCTTTTAAATACCTCCAGGAATGGTGACTTCTCTGGGCAGCCCATTCCCATGCTTGACCACCCTTGTGTTGAAGAAATCTTTCCCAATACCCAATCCAAACCTCCCTGGAATAGCTTGAGGGCCATTTCCTCTTGTCCTGTCACTTGTTACCTGGAAGAAGAAGCCAGCCCCCAGCTGGCTAAAAAGTCCTTTCAGGGAGTTTTAGAGAGTGATGAGGTCCTCCCCAAGTCTCCTTTTCTCCAGACTGAACAGTCCCAGCTCTCTCAGCTGCTCCTCATATGAGTCACTTTCTAGACCTTCCCCAGCTTCATTGCCCTTCTTTGGACTCATGGCCAGCTTACTGCCATCTGCAAACTGGCCGAGGGGATGGACACTTGATCCCCTTGTCCAGATCACTGATAAAGATATTTAAACAGGACTGGCCTCAGCGGAATGCGGGGAAACACCACTAGTGACCAGCCACCGACTGGATTTCATTCCATTCCCCAACGCTCTCTGGACCATCCAGCCAGCCAGTTTTTACACCCATCCAAGATGTAAGCAGTCAGTTTCTCCATGAGGATGCTGTGGGAAACATTGTCAAAGGCTTTAGTAAAGTCCAGGTAGACAACATCCACAGCCTTTGCATCTACCACAAGGCAGGTCACCTTATAACAGGAGGAGATCAGCTTGGTCAAGGGTGCCTTTCATAAACCTGTGGTAGCTGGGAGAGGAGAACATTTGGTGTCTTTAACTGGTATGGGTAACTTCAGAAGTCCAGGTGTTTACTGAGCACAAATTCATATATGGTCTTGTGCCTTCACTGTCTTTTATCTGTCTGTAATATTTGAATTATCAGATTAATTAAAATTAAATTTAAATTCTTAAAGGGTGCTGTGAACACTGGTTACATCACTTATATTTAGCATTGGGAACTATAGTGTTCAAGGTGATTTCTTCTTAATTTCATCCCCGGTTGTGAACTTTCCTTCCTCCTGTGGCAGCCAAAGGAGGGACCAGGTCCATCATTGTTTTCTTTGTTTGAAATTTCACAACATAACCTGGAAGAAGATAGGGATTCTGTTGACATAGTGGGAAAAATACTCCCTGAAAGCAATCTGTTAAAGATTATTCTAATGAAATAATCACCTCCATACATGTCAAGTTAGTGCAGGACTTAAGATTTTTTTTCTTCTTTATGGCTTCACTCTCCTAATTAGTCAAGTGTAATTTCATATTAAATGATTATTCAGGACTAGAAGTGGCAATTTACTTCTATTTTGAAATAAAAATTACTTTGAAGTTTATGATTGCATATTCTGCAGCTGGATGTTTCAGTGCCTCATTGCCTCTGTTCCTGTTACAGGTACATGTGACAGCATTGCAGCAATGAGTGGAATTTTAAAGAGGAAGTTTGAAGAAGTTGATGGCTCCTCACCTTGTTCCTCTGTGAGGGAATCAGATGATGACATTTCCAGCAGTGAAAGTGCTGACAGTGGTGATAGTGTCAATCCATCCACTTCTAATCATTTTACCCGTAAGTACTAACTCTTTGTACCCAAAAAATTATTCCTGTTTCTCAAAATAAAATAAATGTTGTGGTTAGATAAGTATGATGATTTGTAATTGAACAGATCATAAAAAGGTCACTCCATGATGTTCATTTTGTGACTTGCTCAAAAATATGTAGTAAAATACTCTTACTTTCTTTTGACTTCTTGTCTGTTAGACTGTTGTTGTAAAAGTTTGAAGTCTGTTGGAAGCTCCTACCTGCTTGCTATTTGAATTATGTAGCTGTTTGTAGTTAATGTTGGGAGTTGTGTTCAAAATAGTTGAAACAGGTACTGTAGGGAGAGTGCTTTAGCTCATTTTATTTTCCTTAGCTAAATGTATTGCAGCTGTCAGCTCTCTGTAATACAGTATTGGTGAGAGTTCTTCTCTAAAAACAATATAAGCTTTCTTTTATTTGGAACTGATGAATGTTGTGTATGGTAGACATTATTTCAATAGTTTCTGTTTTTCAGATACCAGAGGATATTTCTGTACTTTGCAATGGTTTTGTGTACAAATAAGAATTTGGTCTTAAGTTAGCAAAGATACATTTGCAGCATATATTTCTGGGAAGGATAAATTTACAGTTTATGTTTGCAGTTTATGATACTTGTTTTAGACTTATTAATAGTGAACTGCATCTTCTAAAGAGCAGGGATTTGCCTCCTTCAACTCTGGTGCATTTAGATCTCCTCTATGGATTTATTCCTTAAAACTGTGAGCCAAGGAGTAGGTGAGACTCCTCATTGCTGCCCATACAGAGTTGTTCCATGTAACTGAGTGGTGTGGATGTGCCTAGAAATCATGTTTGTGATATAAATGTTCTTATAACTAACTTTCCTTCCAGATGCTGCTGTTCAGTTTGAGCAGGAGTTTGGATGTGAGGGTCTGAATCCTCTTTGCTCTGTTAGGGAATGTTCCTGTGCACAGGAGGGACAGGCATGACTTTTGAAATGGGTTTACATGGAACACTCTTGAGGTGCTGTGTGATATTAAAGATGCAGTACTAGTTGGGGACCTATTTTATTAAAGTGCCAAAAAGGTGTAAGTGACTCAGTAAACCTCTAGTAGTATTTAAAAATCTAAAATTAGATTAGTATTTAGAAAATTGTCTTGGGGACAATATTATCTGCATGCTGCTGCTTTAACATTTTCATCTGCTGAAGAAGTTAGTTGATTATTCGTCATAGACTGAAAACAGGCTTTTTACATCAAACAGTCATTCCCACCCACACAGAAGACTACAATTTTATTGTGAGTATGTGCACAGGTGATACAGTGAAAGGAAACAATTCAGGGGACAAACTTGGAAGTTGTAGTATGTGCATGTAACAATAAGCTTTAATTGTAGTTGACATAATAAACAATTTAGTTGAAAGGAACTTCCCTTTCTGCAAGAGAAACTACAGTATTTCAATGTTATGATTAATGATTTATCTAACTGAGGTATTTGTGGCCAGAGTAATAAATGTTTATCTGTGTGTGCACTCATACACATACAAAAATTGTACTTATTTCATTTAAAAAAAATACATTTGGGTATATCCACTGAAGATATAGAAATAGAAAGAGCAAGTAGTCTATGTGTGCATTGATAGTATTTTTTAAAAAGTATTGTCTTTAATATAGATGCACCAACCTAAGTTCCAAGAAATCAAATACAGAACCCTGTATTACTTAAGAGCTATTGCGTGATACTCACCTGAAAATTATGTAATCTATACTAGCAAAACTGATAGCAGTGTACATTGGAAGGTATTTTATTCATACTTTAAACTCATTCATCTTCCACAGTAAAAGACAAGAGGCAAGCTTTTCTAAATTGAATATTTGAATCTAAATATAAGGTTGAGTTCTATGAGACTTTTTCAGTGAGCAGACTGAAAAGAGCCAGTGCAGAAGAAAGGCTGTCGAGATTCCTTGCCTCCCTTACATGCCTGAATACCTCCTTGATGGAGGTTGTCTTCCTAAGCTATTTCCTGACATGTTATACCATTTTCTGTTCTACTTAGTGGGGCACTGTCAGATCCTCTGTCCTGTCTTTTTTTCTGGTCTGTTTTCATATAAGTGAATATGAAGTTGACTGTAAACTCTCTTTTACTGACTGGAAAAGGGGGAGAGGGTTGTGTGACCTGTAGTCAACATCAAGATTTCTATATAATAATTCTTAAATTGAGAATTTAAAAAAAAATGCTAACGTGATCCTGTAAGTCTTATATTTTCTTTCTAATTGACCTGACAAAGGGATAATTCTAAATTGCTTGTAACTACAATCTCTTCAGCACTTAGGAAGCAGGCATTTTGTATATAAATCCATCTAGCACAGCTGATGCATCTCTGTATTTACACAGCCCTTGAAACCATATGTATTGGGTCAGATAAAGAGGAGCCTAGCAAGAATTCTGCTCGATTAGTCTTACAATCAGTTTACCTGCCAGCTAAATGAGGCACACAGCTGCTGTGGATCATTCAGGTGGGGCAGAGCTAGCAGAAGATAATTTTGTTCTCAGCAATTAACCCTGTAGTGTGATGGCAAAAACCGCATGACTGAGATGGCCCTAAGTGCTATTGCTTGTGACTGTTACACAGGGATAAATACAGAGTTTCTTTAACAGTATATCCATTTAAACAAATAAAGACAGCAACGAGAAGAAATTAATACATCCCTTGCCTAGGTTGCAGGCGACTCAGTCAGTAAATAAAAATTACAGTCCATAAAGAATAGACAAATTTTACCATTAGCATTTTCTTTATAAGATGTGTGTATTTTTACAGATGTGCACATTTTTAAATCTCTTAGCAAATGGTGATGGAGTGCCTTCATTACTGCTGGCAGTTGTAATCCCTGTTGTGTATTTTACTTACCTTTCTCAGTCTATTGAAGCAATTTCAGTTTGATTCAGCAGGTCATTAGTCATTGCAGAGTTTCTTTAATGGATGCCAAAGTGTATTACTGGATAGTCCACGTGCCTGTCCCATTTCACAGACCTGCCTTCATATCAGAAAGAAGGATGTTCATCTTCAAGTAGCAGTGCAAGCGTGCATGCACAGTATTAGTCGGGACTTAGGCATGTATGGAATACAGGGCTGGAGTGCTCAAAATGCCATTGGACCTCCTTTCAGTTGCCCTGTTCAGTTCTGGCACCCCACTGCTGTTTCATCTGCTCCACAGCAAGCTGAAAAACCTGGAATTGCTGTTGAGGATATCAGTCCAACACCCTGACCATTCCTATATTGTGTGCACTGAGGAACACTGAGTTCCACATTGCAGCTCAGCTGTGGGGGGATATGTGCCCTTCCAGGGAAGGATAATGAAACTTGTGAAGGGTCTGGAACATAAATCCTATGAGGAGCAGCAGAGGGAGCTGTGGGTGTTCAGTGGAGAAAAGGAGGTTCAGGGGAGATCTTACTGCTCTCTACAATTCCAGAAAAGGCTGGAGCAAGGTGGGGGTCTCTTCTCACAGACAAGGGGAAATGACCTCAAAGTGTGCCAGGAGAGGTTTAGGTTGGATATTAGGAAAAGTTGCTTCACTGAAAGAGAAGTTAAGCATTGGAACAGGCTCCCCAGGGAAGTGGAGAAATTGCCATCCCTGGAAGGTATTCAGAAAACAAGCAGACATGGCACTTCATGATACAGTTTAAGAGTCATGGTGGTATTCAGTCCAAAATTATTTGATGATCTTAGAGGTCTTTTCCAACCTTAATAATTTGATGATTCTGTGATTCTCCCTGCTTTGGTGAGGTACCTGCTTCTAAATGCTTCATGTTTTTTTCTGATGTAGAAGAATATGCAAATTTAATTTACAGAATGGTGTGCAATTGAAAGACCTGTGGGGACCTTGTGAAGTCCTGTCTTTTGCGCTTTGGTGCCGGTATTAACTCGCCATAGCACATTAATCACAGATGCATCTCTTAAGAAACACAAGGAGCTCCTGCTTTCCTCTGCCATTTCAACTTCAGTGTCCTGTAGCTGAAACTTCTCTGCCTTGCCTGCAGAGTCACTTGGGATGGCCAGCAGCAGCTTATCTGATAAGGTGATTATCACCAGCAGGAGGTGGTGCCATCACACAGTCTGGTTGATATCCTCAGTCACTTATCTCTCTGTTGCCATTAACATCATCGCTGTCATGAGCAAGGTCATCCTGTGGCCACAATCACAGGTCCTGCCATTCCACTAATTAGGGTACTGTCTTTAGAGTGCTTTGGGATGTACTTTGGTTCATTAGGAATGGGCAGGTCACTGAGGGCTCTGAGAAAACCCTTTGGTCTCTAAGTGCTCTTGCTATTTTTTGATTTTGCTGATGATTTAAAGATGATGAGGAATTTGAAAACACAAAGACATCCCTGTTGCAGTTCCTTCAATATGTGCTGTAAAGTACTGCTTGAATTTTGTAGAGCTGCTAACCTACTGAGATTGCTTTATCTATGTGGCCATGCATAATGTGAAAGAAGGTGTGAAATCTTTAGGAAGGTGTAGCTTCTTCTGAATTATCTTCATAGAGGGATAAAATTTTATTTGGTGTAAGGTCAATAGCACAAGACAGGACCTGAGCTTTGAACTTAAGCTGCATGTTTAATTGCTGGTTAATGATAGCAACTTCAACTCTAAATGAGTCAGAAGTGGTGGTGCTGGTTTACTATGGGAAAACACCTGCAACTAAATGCAGGCATTTCTTTTTTCATGGCATCTTGCAGTTATTTATGTTGCCAGCAACCAGGCTTGGAATTTCCTTGTTAATGAGGAATATGTTTTTATTGCTGTTTGTTGACTCATGTTATGAAATGCTAACAGGTTGGGGGGTTCTTGTATTTGATTTTAAAATAAGTCAGCTCATCTGAGCATTAAAAAGCAAGAAATGCAAATAAATTCAGTGAAATGTAGTGCATGTCTTAGCTCAAACTCACACAGAATGACAGAACAGGGTATATACCATGACAGCATCTCTTCATCTGGAATAAGGAATACTGTGGTGAGAATTGTTAAAA